GTTCTTTTGGCAGCCCATGGCACTTTCAATATTCTCCTCCAACACCATAACTCAAAAGCATCAATTCTTCTACGGTCTTCCTTATTCACAGCTTTCGCATGCATATGAGGTTATTGAAAATACCATGGCTTGGGTCAGGCGCAACTTAGTCCTCAAGCTGACATCTTTGTTCTTCAACACTTTAAAAAGGTCTTGTGCAGTAGATTTGCCTAATTCAATATGTCATTTGATTTCTTGACTGCTGCTTCCATGAGTGTTGATAGTTGATCCAAAAAGAATGAAGTCCTTGACAACTTCAATCTTTCCACCATTGATAAGAATGCTTTTTATTGGTCCAGTGACGAGGAGTTTTGTTTTCTTTACGTTGAGATGCAATCCATAGCAAAGGCTGTGGTCTTTAATCTTCATCAGTAAATACTTAAGTCTTCTTCACTTTCAGCAAGCAAGGTTGTATCATCTGCATATCGCAGGTTGTTAATGAGTCTTCCACCAATACTGATGCCACATTTTTCTTCATAGAACCCAGCTTCTCAGATTATTTGCTCAGCATACAGGTTGAATAACTAAGGTGAAATAATACAACCCTGTCACACACATTTCTTAATTTTAAACCATTCGGTGTTCCCATGTTCTGTTCGAACAACTGTCCATGTACAGGTTCCACATGAGCACAATTAAGTGTTCTGAAATACTCATACTTCACAATGTTATCTATAGCTTGTCATGATCCACACAATCAAAAGCCTTTGCGTAATCAATAAAGCACAGGTAAACATCTTTCTGATATTCTCTGCTTTCAGCCAAGATCCATCGGATATCAGCAATGATATCCCTTAGTCCACAGCCTCTTCTGAATCATACAGTCAATGTATACTTGCAGCCGTTTCTGTATTACTTTTAGTAAAACTTTACTCACATGGGATTTCGAAGAGACTGTCTAATCATTTCCGCATTCCGTTGGGTCACCACTTGCTAGAATGGGCACAAATATGGATTTCTTCCAAACAGTGGACCAGATAATTGTCTTCCAAATTTCTTGGCATAGATGAGTGACTGCCTCCTGTGTTGTCTCACTTTCTTGAAAGATTTCAGTTTTTATTGCCTTGTTCTTTGCCAATTCCTTCAATGCACCTTGGACTTCCTCCTTAAGTATCATTGGATTTTGATCATATGCTACCTCTTGAACATTAAGCATTTCCTTTTGGTTCAATGACTCTGTGTATTCCTTCCATCTTCTTTTGATGCTTTCTGCATCATTCAGTAATTTTCTCACAGAATCCTTCAATAACAAAAGTCAAATCTTGAATTTTTTCTTCAGTTCCCCAGCTTGAGAAATGCTGAGCATGGTCTTCCTTTTTGGTTTTCTGACTCCAGATCTTTGCACACTTTATTGTAATATTTGGCTTTATCTTCTTGAATTGATCTTTGAAAATTTCTGTTCAGCTCTTGGACCTCCTCATTTCTTCCATTTGCTTTAGCATTTCTACACTGGAGAGCAAATTTCAGTGTCTCTTCTGACATTCATTTTGACCTTCTCCTTCTTTCTTGTCTTCTTAATGACTTTTTGGCTTTCTACCTGTATGATGTTCTTGATGTCATCCCACAACTCTTCTGGTCTTCCATCTTTAGTGTTTTAATGTATCAAATCTATTCTTCAGATGATCTCTAAATTCAGGTGGGATATATTCAAGGTCATATTTTGGCTCTCGTGGACTTGTTTTCATTTTCTTCAGCTT